CCCCCCCCGTCGCTGTCGCCGCCGCCTCCGCTGCCCCCGTCGCCTCCGCCGCCCTCGCCGCCTCCGCCCTCCACCCCACCGTCTACGCCACCCTCACCCTCGCCCTCAGCGCCGCCCTCACCCTTGCCGCCGCCACCTTTGCCGCCGCCGCCGCCGCCCTCAACGCCGCCGCCCTCACCCTCGCAGCCACCGCCGCTGCTGCCGCCGCCGCTCTCACCCTTGCCGCCCTCACCCTCGCCGCCGCCACCCTCACACTCGCCCTCAGCGCCGCCCTCACCCTTGCCGCCGTCACCTTTGCCGCCGCCGCCGCCGCCCTCAACGCCACCGCCCTTACCCTCGCCGCCGCCGCCGCTGCTGCCGCCGCCCTCACCCTTGCCGCCGCCACCCTCGCCGCCGCCACCCTCACCCTCGCCCTCAGCGCCGCCCTCGCCCTTGCCGCCGCCACCTTTGCCGCCGCCGCCGCCGCCGCCGCTGCCGCCGCCCTCACTATCGCCGCCGCCGCCGCCGCTGCCGCCGCCGCCCTCACCCTTGCCGCCGCGCCCTTTGCCGCCGCCGCCGCCGCCCTCAACGCCGCCGCCCTCACTATCGCAGCCGCTGCCGCCGCTGCTGCCGCCGCCACCCTTGCCGCCGCCACCCTTGCCACCGCCACCCTTGCCGCCCTCACCCTGGCCACCGCCGGTCTCGGCGCAGTCGCCGCCGCCGCCGCCGCCACCGCCGCCGCCGCCGCCGCCGCCGCCGCCGCCCTCTTTAGCGCCGCCACTTTCACCAACATCGGGACCGGGCGTAACACCAGGATGCGAAACATATTGCGCCGTCAATGGTAACAATTGGCTGACGAAGTGTGGCTGGGAGGCGGCATGTGGAAATTGCAAAGAGTGCGACTCGCTGGTACTGGAGTGCTTATTCTGGTGCCGTGCCCATACTCAGCAGTGGGAAAACAAATGCTCTTGGTCCACCTCGTGCATGGGATGCTCGGAGTGTTTGATTCCACGGTCTACTCCCCCGCCCCCCCCGTCCCTGCCTCCTCCGCGTCTGCCTCATTCCGACTACCACCTCGTGGTCGGCGTGCACTGTGCCACCGTAAGAGCGGGGCAAGCCATCGTGACGCTTGAGCAGGCACTAGAGACGTGCACCTCCTTGGATGACTGCGCCGGAATCAGAGACTGGGGATGCACCGGTGGTGGCTTTCGGCTGTGCACCAGATCGGCCTACAGGGAGGTTGAGAAATCGGACAACTGCATCTACCGCAAGTCATCTCTGACGCCAAAGCCGCCGCCGCCACCGTCGCCATCACGGCCGCCGTGGTTGGTCGTTCCTCCCAACGTGCTTTTCATTGTCTCGGACGACCTCACGCTCGAGGTGCCCGTCCCGGCGCACACGCCTCACATCGACGCCCTCAAAGCGAGCGGGGTCTCCTTAGCGCACGCGTACGCTCAGATCGCTACGTGCGCGCCGTCGAGGACGTCTTTCCTCACTAGCTTGCGCCCGGACCAGACCGGGTCGTGGACGCTCGATAAGACCGACCAGGTGCGCGAAGTCGAGCCAGATGAAGTCCCATTCACGCTGCTGCCTGAACACTTCCGGAACAACGGCTACTTTGTGCGCGCATATGGGAAGGTGTTGCACGAGGGCAGAAACGAGCGCGAGGTTGGTCGCAGCTACGACGAATACTTCAACCGGTTTGAGGGGATGTGGATCTACAACGACGATGGCACGGTGCGTGAAGGCTGGACCAAGGCGCAGCTCGAGCGCGTGGACGGCGACCGGCAAGTTGCAGCCTACGATATGGGCCAGAATTCGAGCGGTGCCACCGTTCAGGACGGCGCATACGACGACGGAGCATGGACTGATGACGCTGCCGCGTGGCTCCGCGGCCGCCCCGCCGACTCGCAGCCGTTCTTCCTTGCCATGGGCTACAAGAAGCCCCACCTGCCGTTCAACGCACCAAAGAAATACTGGGACCTGTATCAGCCCAGTCAGTTCGAGGCCGTGGTGCCTGACAGCTACGACGGGATTCGACGGATGCCCAACGGCACGATGAGGTTCACCGCGCCGCTCGGCACCGAGATCTTCAAGTTTGGTGCGACCAACTACCAGCCTCGCAACCCGTTTGCCCTCTGGCCCGGCGTGCCTAACTCCAAGACGTGCGACGGAACCGCTGGGGCGGTCGGCTGCTACCTCATGCCAACGCCCACTCTCCCCGAGGCGCGCGCTTTGCTGCACGGGTACCTCGCTTGCATCTCCTTCATCGACGCGCAGGTTGGCAAGCTGACGGCCGCACTCCAAGAGGGAGGCCACGCGGACAACACGATCACCGTCTTCACCAGCGACCACGGCTTTCACCTGGGCGACCGGAGCGGCTTTTGGGCCAAGCACACCAACTTTGAGGCGGCCACGCGGGTGCCTCTCATCTTTGCTTCTCCGTGGCTGCCACAGCCCGGGACAGACGCGGTCGGTGTCGCCGAGCTGGTTGACATATACCCGACGCTGATTGCCCTCGTCGAGGAGCGGGCGCCAGGAACGTTCTACATCCCACCCAACCACCAGCTGGCTGGAACCTCGCTGCTGCCGACGCTGCTCGACCCGTCGCGGACGCCCGCCAAAACGGTGGCCTTCTCGCAATTCCACCGCACCATGGTCACCTACGGCCCCTCGTACGGCGAACCGGCACAGTTGCCGAACATGGGGGGTAAGGACAAAGCGGTAGGAATGGGCTATACGATCCGCGTCGTCGACGGCGACCTGGACTATCGCTACACCGAATGGTGGCGCGTGAGTCTCGGCAACGCCCGCACAGCTCCGCCCGTCGCTGACGAGAGCGAGGAGAACATGCACACGCGCTGGTGTGCGGACGCTAGCCAGCCGTCCTCGTGTGTCGCCGGGCCGGCGTTTCGAGAGCTCTACTACTACACCTCTGCCCCTCTTATTGAGACGGTCAATAGCATAGTGACGATTGCGCAAGAGCTGGCGCTGCCGCTCTCAGACAGCGACCTCGACAACGGACTCGGAGACGGCTGGAAGCGTTGCGCCTCGACGACATCCGGGACGCCGGGACTGTTCCACAACATGTCCTGCATCTCAAGTCGCCCCGCCGTAGGTAGATAGTTCATCTTCAACCTCTAACCCCGTCAACGCTCAAGAGCGCTGGCGCTGCACGTTCTGTTCTCTCTTTAGTTTTGGCTCCAGGCCGCTCCAGCGGCAGCGCGCGCTCGGAGTTCAGGTCGAGTTTCGCTTCATCGTCTCCTTGAAAGGTGTTTGTTTGTTGCGTTTAGCGTTATTGTACTGTCAATAAATTATCAGAACACGTGTCTGTGTCCAAGGAGGAGATTTAAGAGGGCACGGAGCTCGTTGATGGAGGGGTTTTTACTGCGAGTGAAGTCCCCCATCGGCGATGCCGGCATCGGGAGGACGACCCCGGCTAGAGGGTGTGGATGCTGGGTTGACGGAAATCGGAGGACGCGACCCACCTCGCCACAGACGGTCCCACGCCTCGCCGCTATGACGGCGACACGGCCGCAGCTCGTGTGCGTGTCGCCGTCTTTGTCCGGAGTGAAAAGTCCAACGCGCTCGTCGGTGACGGTGTCCTCCAACCTGCGCCGCGCTCGGCGAACCTCGACAGCGCCTTCGATGGCATGCAGCTCTTTGCGTCAGAAGCCTGGAGAGCAGCTCCTCTGCTGCTCACACACTCTGCACAGTTGACACAGCCTACTGTGCGGCTGCCACAGCTGTGACAGCGATGGGCTCGCCCTCACTGGCCCTCAGTCACTTGTGCTGCGGCTTGTGTGAGCGACACTGCTCGGCGACTGCCGGCACACTGTGAGACCATGGGTGTGAGGTAAAACCACGCTACCAGCGCTTGGTCACATCGGCCCCGAGGTCAGATCCTTCTACTCTGTTGATGACAAGACTTGTCTACCGGCTGGAGCAGAGCAGGAGGGCCCGGCGCACAACCCCTTGGTCAACTCACCCTCCACACCCCGTAGTCGCCGACCACACCCACAAAGAACCCTGCACAAAGATCGCACGGGCGGGGACCTGTTCCTTTAGCTTTTTACCCATCTCACAGTGGTGTCCGTTTTTATTTATTTATTTATTTTAATGCGACAAGAGAGGCCCCGGAGGCCGGAGCCCAGAGACTGATGCGGATGGAAAGCAAAAGTTGAAGATGGATGCGCCGTGCACTGCGGCGACCCGAGATGGAGCACGCCGCACGCCCGCGCGTGCGTGCGCTCACCGCAAAGGGTCGAGGGCGTGGAAGGTGAGTATGGCCAGGGTGAGGGTGCATGGCAGCAGCAGCGGCGCAAGGAGGTACTGCGAGAAGATGGCGGTCGCCTGCTCAGAGCTTGACGAATAAATAGACGCTGTGAAGTGCAGCGAGCAGGTGCTGCGAGGGTGACGGTCGCCATCGCGGCGGTGTCGCGGTCTGAGCCGTAGAGAGAACACATGATGACCACGTTGTTGGCGGTCGGCGTCGCAGTCACGGCGACCGCCGCAAGGTGGAAGATCTGGCCGCACGGCGAACGGAGTCGGATGCAACCGAAGTCTAGCCGAGAATCTAGGCCAGGTGTGTGGTCAATGAGTAGCCCAAGTGTAGTCTAAGTGTAGCTGTGTAGCCAAAGTGTAGCCGAGGTTCAGCCGAGGCGTGTCCGCTGCGCCTGGTCGTATGGCGAGCGGAGCGCGAACCATCCGGCTCCGTGCCGTCCGACGGTGAGGTTGAGTCCTGCTGGGGCAGGAGGAATGTGAGGAGACGGCCTCCGCGGCAGTGCGGCGCGGCGGCGGGGGCGTTCGCCGAGCATCAGCAGCGTCGAGAAGGCGGGCATCAGCACCAGCTTCGCCGCCACGATGCCGACGTTGCAGCGCACCGGCAGCGCCGTCCAGTCAGGCCCGCGCGCGAGGGAGCTGCCGGGCGGGCGACGAGGCTGAGGCGGTGTCAGAGGGGTCTAGGAGGAGCCTCGAAGGAAGGTGTCTAGGGGTGCGCTTCTCTCTCTGGGGGGGGGGGGTGTCTACAAGGCGGCTCAAGGAGGCGCACCTGCCGAGCATGATCAGGTTGAGCGGCACTGCAGCGGAGCCGAGCGTCTCGATGCCGCGGAAGAAGAAACCGAGCGGCGCCCCCTCGCTCGGGCAGCGCGTGTGCTTCGGCAGCCGCTCCCCAAACGCGCCGCCGCAGAGGGAATAGTACACCTGGCCCGGGGGAGGGGAGGGGTGGTAGGAGGGGGGGCGGGGCAGCAGAGCGGCGCGAGGGTCCAGCGGCGGCGGAGGGGGGTGAGGCGGCGGCGGCGGGGCCGGCAGTGGTGGCAGTGGTGGCGCGCCGGGTCCCACGTGCACGCGAGGCCGAGCAGGATGCCAACCACGGGCGGCAGCAGCACGTGCTTTTGCAGGAAGGCGGCGGCCGCCTGGCGGAGCAGGCGCGAGAGGCGCTCAGAGGAGGGCTGCCTCCGCCCCCGCCGCGGTGGCGGGGAGGGCGGTGGCGGGAGGGCGGTGGCGGGAGGGCGGGCCGCCGCCTGCGCTGCGCGCGCGCTGTCGCGGAGCGAGAGGAGGGAGAGCGAGGTGGGTTGCGAGGCGTTGGCGTCGAGGAGTTGCTCATAGACCGCCGCGCTGAGGCAGGGCTGGGTACGCGCTGCCGGCGAAGCGATGTCGCTGAGCGCACCCGCGGAGGGGTACTGTGTGGTTGCGACGGCGGAGAGCAGCTCTGGCTCGTCTGGCGTCATGAGCCACTTGCCGATCGACCACTGCAGGATAGGGTAGGTGAGGAGGTAGACCTGGAGGGAGGCGCCGAGACGGCTCAGGGGTGGCTCCCCCGGGCGGCAGGCGGGTAGGTGCAGAGGCGGGCACCGAGAGGTAGACGACTGGGTCGTCGATCCCGGCCTGTAGTGCGGGAAGGCCCCGAGAAGCTTCGGCGGGAGGACTTGCAGCACGGCGCACGTCAACGGCCGTCGGTCCCGGACGGACGGCGCTCGTGCAGCGGAGTGAGTAGGCGAGTGGAGGCAGAGGCGACGGAGTGAAGTGTTGCGCCTTCTCGGCCGCTGCAGTTGCTGCGCCCGTGTGTCCCTTGTCCATGCGCGAGCGTCGTCCGTGCTAGGCGCGCGGCTGGCTAGAGCGGACCGATTCCTCTTCGGCATAGAGGTAGCCGATCTGCTGCATTAGCATCGAGAGGATGACGATCGGCATGCCGGTCGAGTTGCCTACGTGGCCACTCATCATTGAACGTCCCATATTCGAGGGTTGCACGTCCTGCCACTTTAGCTGCTGCCAAAGGCGACGGCTGCGACCACGAGCTTGCGGAAGGAGTCGGGCGGCCGCGTGATCTTTACGACGGCTGAGCCAAGCGCGAGGCCTGTGCGAAATTCCGAGACGGTTCAGAAGACTGCAGGTAGAGCTCGAGACGGAGCCGCGAGGGGTCGACACCCGTCGCTACAAAGAAGAGAGGCAGCAGCGCCATCGGCCAAGCCTCAAGCAGCAGCTCCCAGCTCACCTGCGGCACGACTCGCGAGAAGAGCATGCACGGGATGGTGACGCGCATCGACAGCACCGAGAGGACCCTCGTGCCCGCCTTGGAGATGTGGCCTGCTCTGCCCAAATAGACTCCAGCGCCGGTCAGCACCGCCGCCTGGCCGACGCTGCGGCCGGCAGCCAGTGCGATGGTACGAGCGAGGTCCAAAAAGTCCTGTTCTCGCCGGGTCGGTTTAGCTCTCTCGCCAGAGCCGGGGTTAAATCTCTCGGTGGCCGCACCTGGGGTTCCGGCGAGTCCTCCATTGTGGAGCTCCTAGCCAACGTTGTGCTTGTGGCCGACGGACTGTCAACTGGCCCCAAGGGGTGCAGGCAGGGCGGAAAGGGAAGGTTAGGTGGGTTACGACTACTTACTGATGTGTGTGTGTGTGTGTGTGTGTGTGTGTGTGTGTGTGTGTGTGTGTGTGTGTGTGTGTGTGTGTGTGTGTGTGTGTGTGTGTGTGTGTGTGTGTATGTAGCTATGTACGGCCGGAAGCGTTGAGGGCGTATGGCAAGGTAATGGCGGCGTGTCGATCGCATCTGACGCGAGGGTGGGAGCGCGGTAGGACTGACTGGCTGAATTGTCTGTTGGTGCCGATCTGTCTGCTGCTTGCTGATCCATCCTTCCGCCTCCCTCCCTCCCTCCCTCCCCCTCCCTCCGTCTCCTCCTCCGTCTCCTCCTCCGTCTCTTCGCAAACAAATCGCCGTAAAACCAAAATAATATCTCGGCCCACCTACGTTCACCAGGCTGCGTATACGGTAATTCGATCTGTGCGCAACCAAACCGCCGTTTCGAGCAAGTAACAACATTGCCTGGGCTGACGTCGAACTGGCGCACAACAACTACACCACCGCCCCCCCGATGGGTCATGTCCTCCGTTCCGGCCGCCCTCGTCATCGCCGCCTGGAATAGCGCGGGGACGAGTACGGGCCAACAGCGATCGCCCTCGCGACGGCCTCCCCTCGGGGAGGAGCTATGGAGGCCGCCGCCGGTGAGCACACCCGGCGAGGCGGCAGCAGCAGCAGCGGCAGCGCCCACAGGTGCAGCAGCCTCCTCCACGGGGACACAGCGGAGACGGTCACTCCAGCAGCCAATGGCAGGCTCGGAGCTTCTTCACTCGGGTACCAAGGTCGCAGCGTCGGAGGGCCGCCTCTTCCTTCAAGAGCTCCACAGCCTCCAGGACTGCGCCTTTGAGTGCTATGGAAAGATCAACTGTCAGATCTTCAGCTATACGCGCGTTACCTCACACCACGGCATGTGCGCGGGTGGTCCTCTCGACGCGCCACGGGAGGACGACGGCCAGTCCGTGCTCTACAAGGTGGTGCCCAGACTGTGGTCACCGCAGGCGGGGCCGACAGTGGTGCCGATGACAGGGCCAACGGTAACGCCAATGACACACACCCACGGGGCGCGGAGCAAGGTATACGGCGACTCGATGCCAGGCTGGTGTAGAGGGCCCGTCAGCGTCAACCAATACGTGAGGGATAAGATGCGAAACGGAGTTGCCGACTACCTTGAATGCATGGACTATTGCGACGACGACACCGGGTGTGCCGGGTTCTCGTTCCAGGAGGACGGTGGCTGGTGCTATGTGTACGGAGACATCGACTTGCGATCTCCTCCCCCATGGACGGTGCGCGACGAGATACCAAACACCCAGGTTGGCACTGCCGCATCTGGATGGTCGCACGGGCAAGCGAATTGCTGGAGGGTGCTGCGTACGATGCCGGTCGAGCCGGGAGACGGCCTACGCCCTCCGTTGCCGCCCGACCCGCGCCCCTACCCGCCGACGCCACTGCCACATCCGCCGCTGCCGATCCCGTCCCCGCCTCCCGACCCGCCACCGCCACCGCCACCATCGCCACCGCCGCCCTCACCGCCGCCGCCCTCGCCGCCTAGTCCGACGCCGCCGCCGCCCTCACCGCCGTCACCCTCGCCGCCTCCACCCTCGCCGCCTCCACCCTCGCCGCCTGGTCCGACGCCGCCGCCGCCCTCGCCACCGCCACCCTTGCCGCCTCCGCCCTCACCGCCTCCGCCCTCGCCGCCTGGTCCGACGCCGCCGCCGCCCTCGCCGCCGTCACCCTCGCCGCCTCCACCCTCGCCGCCTCCACCCTCGCCGCCTCCACCCTCGCCGCCGCCCTCCATCGTCGCGCCACAGTCGCCCTCGCCACCGCCACCCTTGCCGCCTCCGCCCTCACCGCCTCCGCCCTCGCCGCCTGGTCCGACGCCGCCGCCGCCCTCGCCGCCGTCACCCTCGCCGCCTCCACCCTCGCCGCCACCCTCCATCGTCGCGCTACAGCCGCCCTCGCCACCGCCACCCTCGCCGCCAGGTCCGGCACCATCGCCACCGCCGCCCTCACCGCCTCCGCCCTCGCCGCCTGGTCCGACGCCGCCGCCGCCCTCGCCGCCGTCACCCTCGCCGCCTCCACCCTCGCCGCCTCCGCCCTCGCCGCCTGGTCCGACGCCGCCGCCGCCCTCGCCGCCGTCACCCTCGCCGCCTCCACCCTCGCCGCCACCCTCCATCGTCGCGCTACAGTCGCCCTCACCGCCTCCGCCGTCGCCGCCTCCGCCCTCCCCGCCGCCGCCCTCGCCACCGCCACCCTTGCCGCCTCCGCCCTCGCCGCCTCCGCCCTCGCCGCCTGGTCCGACGCCGCCGCCGCCCTCGCCACCGTCACCCTCGCCGCCACCTCCATCGCCCCCCGCCAGAGCTGCGCCGCCGCCCAGCCCACCGCCACCATCGCCACCGCCGCCATCACCGCCGCCTCCGTTTCCGCCGGATCCGCCGCCACCGCCGCCGCTGCAACCGCCACCATCTCCAGAGCCTCCGCCGCCCTCGCCGCCACCACCATCACCGCCGCCACCAGGACCGAAGGAGCCGCCACCGTCACCGCCGCCGCCCTCACCGCCGCCGCCGTCTCCGCCGCCGCCGTTCCCGCCGGACCCACTGCCGCCGCCATCGCCATCGCCGCCGCCTCCATCACCCTTGCCCCCTCCATTCTCACCACCCAGTCCACCGCCCTCGCCGTCACCGTCGCCACCTCCGCCGCCCTCGCCGCCGCCACCGTCCCCGCCTCCGCCCCCATCGCCACTTCCGCCCACACCGCCGCCGCCGTCACCTAGTCCGACGCCGCCTCCACCATCTCCTCCTCCGCCTTCTCCGCCGCCGCCCTCGTTTCCGCCGCCCTCGCCGCCGCCGCCCTCGCCGCCGCCTCCTTCGCCGCCGCCCCCTTTCCCACCAGATCCAGCGCCGCCGCCACCGAAACCACCGCCATCGGCGTCGCCAGAGCCGCCGCCGTTTTCCCCACCGCCAAACCCCAGCCCGCCGCCGCCGCCGCCCCCGTCGCCGCCACCACCATCGTCGCCGCCACCGCCACCGCCACCTCCTCCGTCACCGCCGCCTCCGTCGCCGCCTCCGCCGCCGTCGTCGCCGCCCCCGTGCAGCATGCAGTGCGTGGCCTGGGAATGTGAAGAAGACCCCACCTTCCAAGTGAACGAGAAAGGCCAGGTGATCCCTCGCATCTCGCAATCTACGTACATTGCGCTGCTCGAGCAAAGGAACAGCAGATTGGCCCATGAGCTCGAAGAGCTGAGATCTGGTATATCAAGTTGATATTAGTGTGTGATCTGTGTGACCAGAGTTTCCACTGACGACTGAGGACTGAGGTCTGAGCACTTTGAGTCGCGTAGCTCGTACACGAGGTTGTCTCACAAGAACGGAAGAAGTCGGCCGCGGGAACGGAGCTGTGGGATGAAAATCGCTCTCGACACTCGAGAGCGATGCGCAAATACGAAACGAGAGCCATCCTGTGCGTGTGACATCTCAGATAACAGAGTCCACAACCAAAGAGACCAAAAAACAAAAGACTGCAACACGTACGACCGCAGCGCGTGTGCACACCCTCAGGCTCTTAGCGGCAACAGCACATTAGCGCCGCGCCTCCCCCTCACGCCTCCCAGCGGGGCTACGCCCGCCCAACCCGCCCCGCCCTCGACTCAAACCTAGCGCGACGCGCCGCTAGTGTTGGCTCTCGGCACGCTAGAGGGCAGAGGTTGGTTGGCGAGTCTGGACGTACTATTGGGGCTTTTGCGTCACTCCTCCTCGGCACCGCTCTGGCGCGCTGCCAAGGCTCTTGCCGAAGCGGCGTTTCGAGGCGAAGGCTGGCGATACGGGCTTTGTCGGCTCGTGCGAGGCGCGCTGCACCTGGAAGGGCTTGGCGCGGAGCACCGAGGCGGGGCGCGCCTTGAAGGACGTCTTGGCGCGCGCCTCGGCCGCCTCGGCAGCGGCCTGCTCCTGCTGCTCGTGCTGTGCGCGCGCGCGCGCCGCGGAGTCGGCGAGGGCGCGCTTGGTCGCCTCCGTCTCCCACGCCTTGCGCTCCGACGCCCTCGAGTCGGAGCGACAGCCGAAGGGCTGGATCTCGGTGAGCGGCTTGGTCGACTTGCTCACCTGCCAGGGGGGGAGGGGGGGGGCGGGGGGGGGCCTCCAAGGGGCACTCTCAAAAAGT